TGTTATTACAACTTTAGCCCAATTAAGAAAAGCCGAAGGATTCAAAATTAATTATCAGCATATTATTATGTACCTATAAGTAGTTAAAACGAGAATGAAAAAAAAGGTTCCATTTTTTTATTGCTTTGCTTTTTATATTAATACTAGCAGTACCCGCGGCTTCACCCGCGTCCAAACTTCCGATCACTAACAAAATTCACAGGATCACCCGCTGGGCTACTCTGAAGATTACCTGAAAATTTCATCAAAATCGCTCCAGCTGTTTTGGAGTCCATAGGATACACACATCGATTTTTATTTTATTTAATGAACAATTTTTATTTATTGCTCGGAAAATGGAGTCTTGTATGAAAAGTTAGTGACTTACCGACTGCAGCGCCACCTACTGGGTCCAATTGTATTTTCAAACAATCCAGGGACCCATTTAAATATATACACTAAATTTTATCCAAATCGATCTAGTCCTTAAGGAAGAGTAGGTTAACAAACACATGTACAGAAGAATTATATATATTAAGATTTCATAGTGTTATACAAGTAGGTACATAACATCCCTTTCAGTCAGTACAAGACGACTGAAAGCGTAGTTCAAGGCCACCCCAATATAACAGAACTGACACGTTTGCTCTCGGTCTGTCAGGGCTGCTCGATCTTATAGCTGAATACAAAATATGGGTACTTTATGTATTGTTTGTAAAGCAGATTGAATTGTAAAAAACAGCAGTACAGTAAATTTTATATAGTATTTCTGTATGTTGTAAAAATCTTAAGTGACAGAACTTTCCTTAGTATATTTTTTCTTTTTTAGCTTTTGTATATATATTTTTTATGTAATTAGGATTAATACTGATGTTTTAGAAATGAACTATGAAAAAAAAAACAAATAAATAATATTATTTCGTTTTTTTCATATTTAAGGTTCGTTAAATTAGTGAAAAATAAAATTTATTGTAAGGATTTATAAATTATTTCAATATTTATTTTTCATTGTTTTACTAATAATAAGATTAGACTTTTTTAAAATATCCGATCCGAAAAAAATATTAATATAGAGATCCGGCAGTACAAAACAAGTTAGTTTTACTGGCAGCCCTGCCTTCTATATCTATTTCACTCGACCTAGTATGCAGCCTCCTTTTAAATCTAAGTGTGAACAATTTAAAAATGTAAATATCTAAAATTAGCAAGCATATACAAGCGTGTTTTTTTTATATTTTTGTGTCCTTTTGGTATTATATTCTAATCATTTCTAATAAATACTTACATACAGACGAACAGAGAACCTCCACTTTGAAAGTCGGTTAAAAAATGATGTATCTATCTATGACAAAATTGAAAATATGTACATAAGTATTTAGTATTAATAGGTTTTTATAAAATATAGAAGTTCTTCCTAAAGGGGTGGCCTTTCCCAATTTTAATTAAAGGCAGCCTAATCTATCCTAGGTTGTCAATGATGGGTTTATATCTTTTGACCTCTCGTCAGTGGACAACTAAGAGACTACAGGTCACCACCAGAGAACTTTAGTGGACCACCAAGAGACTGTAGTGGACCATCATAAGATATAGTGGAGGTTGGTGGTTTCCCCTTACTCGAAACTTAGCACTGTTTTCAGTTCACGGAATGGCTTATATCTAGCCATAACCGTACTCATAACGACTCCGTACAACCGAATTTGAGTTACAACTTACAACCTACAGGTGACATATTGGAGCATTCTCTCACGTTTTCGTTTCAAACTCTATTGAAGCGCGTAACGACACTTCGCACTGTCCACTAAAGTAAAAAAGGTCTTCTGACCTATTTAAAGGAGAATTTAATGGCGGGTACAGACAAATGAAAATAAAGAAATAAAGGGTTCTTGCGAAATAGTCTAAAAGTTTTAGAAGTTCTTTGGCACGGAATGTAATGAGTCGAAACAAGGTAAAAGCGAAAGTTGACAAATTTTGTGTTGTCAGTACATGCTCATGACAAAAGTTTCTTACTTACGAGTAATTACTTTAATTTCATCAACTTGTCATTTAACAATTTTAGCAGAATACGTCAAAGGAATACGTATACCAACTCTGTTGCTCAGTATATTTAATTTACTGATCACGAACGTCTTGCCCACAAAATTATTTCTCAAAATGTCTATAATTTATTTCATTTGAAGATTGATAAACTAAACAAAAACGCTACCTACGTGACATTGACGAAGTAATCTATGCGCAATTGGCACATTTTAAAGACAATAACAAAAATATGGAATAGAAACTAAAGTAATAACTTTCTAATTACTCAGCCATAAAATAAAAGTTATCCATTAACTAACTTATAAAATGACTTATCTATATATAAATAGGCAAAGACAAAACAGTTAGTACCTTTTTCTCCTCTATTTGTCAACAGATTTTCTTTTTTGGTTCCGTATATCAAAAAGAAAAAAAGACCCTTATAGGATCGATTCGTTATCCGCAGGTCTATTTCTTTTCTGTTTAGAAGCTATTGACGAGCTGTTAATATCACTAAAAAAATGCAATATCATCCATTACCAAGTTATAATTTAACAGATTTTAAGGCGCATTTCACACAGGGAACGATCCCCTGGGACAGCAGATTATCTTTTTAATAGGAGTGTCAATTTTTTTAATTTAAATTGTTTTTTTTTTGTCTGTCAATTCACACATTAATGTAATAAGTAGTAAATACTCAAAAGAATATTTACTACTCATTATAGGTTTGTTTATGTTTTGTAATGTAACTATATACCTACTAGGTACTACTAGATATAAGAATATATGGGAGTGTACAATTTTTATTTTAACACCCCATCACCACCTCTATGTAAAAATAAAATATTATTGTACAATTTATTTGTTTAACAGTAATTTTTATGTATATTGCATTTTAATGTAGAAACTAGCAACTTCTCTCTTCACTCGGGTACGTCCCTAGGTACGTTTTAATTTTTTGGAGCAGAACCCTAATTCTTTTTCTAAAATAAAAGTAGCCCAAGTTACTGCTTATAACATCAGCTATCTGCCAATGAAAGTTCCGTCAAAATCAGTCCAGCCGTTTCGGACATTACCCAGAACAAACAGTAATATAAAGTAGTAGTAATGGTAGTAAACAGCTGTTATTTTGACATTACAAACAGACACTTTTATTTATCTGTATAGATATTATCTATAAAGATAAATAAAACTGTGTTGATGCGTGAAACTCATCTCATGATTAAAAAAATACTTACTCTGCTTTTTCTACAAAATAAAACCAATACAATATATTTGCATAATTTATTCGTCATACATTCCATTACAGGCATAATTTCTATTATTTCATATACAGAATATGAAAATTTTATTTGTATAGTAATCAAAAGGAAAAAGTATATAATTGTAAAAATAAGTAAATTAACGGATTTTAACTAATTCTTTCACATAAATTTCATCATTTCAAAGATTCTTATATATTTACAGTTTCTTATTGAAGTAAAACTTGTTTAGGCGAGACTGAGGGGTAAAACGATACATTGGAAAAATGAGTGTCGCGGAAGTGAGAATAAAATTTATTATTGATAATTAAAAAAATATATATTATTAATATATTTATTATTAATAATTTTATAATAATTATAATTAAAAAAATTAATATTTATTACTAATAATTTTATAAAATTAATAATATTTTGATTTGTATTAATTTAACTGCGGTATCTGCCACAGCGCCAAAGAAGTTGTACTTCAAACGCGCGTAAAGGTTACACGCACTCATTTTTTTCTTCTTTTTCTTTGATTAGGTCGTTTTTAGAAGAAAAATTGCTACGAAACACACAATACGTACAAATCGAACATTTATAATTTTGATTTTTACGTAATATGGCCTAAATATAATAAAATATATTGACTCCTGCAAAGAACAATACTGTAACTTGGTATTAAGAAAATTTAAAAATAAAAATTATCTTTCCACCGTTGATATATGTATAAAAACAAAGTTACATATTTCCTAACAAATGTCTTTTCAAAAAATTGCGTCGACATGTGACATAAGTCGAACCAAAGAATAAAATTTTAAAAATCGAAAGTCCTAATTGTCTAAACACAAATTCGAACTTACGCACACACCACATAAAGTACTTTTTTTAAATGAAACAATATATTCGATAATTCTGTATCTTGAGGTTTTGGTACATCGATGCCTACCACATTATTTTTTTTAAATTCTAACTTTAAAATTCTTAAAAAGTTAAGTTACAATGATTTTCCTTGCAATTTTCAATATGATTAATTATTTCTTTTGCAACCGTATACCGCACCTGGCTGTAATATTCTAATATATATATATATATAAAGAAAATATTAATAAAATCCGTTAATTTATATAATTTGATTATTATTGGGGGTATATTAATATTATTCAGTCAAATTTCCATCCATACTCTCGATAGTTGACTATTTACATTACAAAGTCCTTGAGATCTTGTAATACAGCTCTTTAAAAATATCTGAAATAGACAAAATATTTTCATTATTTGTACGAAAATATTATTGGAAATAATATCCACGTTCATGTTTAAATTCATCAAGCATATTTAACATATTTAATCATAAATATAAAAAAAAATAGTCGGAATATTATGTAGTTATAGTTAATAAAAAACAACAAATATTTCAAAATTAAAAGCGACATATGCATACATAAACAATAAAAAATCCGAGAATCGAATCCATACCGATAAATGGACGTAGTTATACAAAATAGATCCCACCACAAAAACTTACCTTTGAGAAAATTGGGAGTTTTAATAAAGTTGGTATATAAAAATAACAAGACCGACCGTAGTTTTTTTTTAAATCCCTCTTAAATGTTGCATCTACTTTCTGTATAAAAGTTGATATGTAGATGCCATTCATGACAGTAACTCAAAAAACGGTTTTCGTGAGCTGGATCCATCTTGCATAACTACGTCCAAATAACAACACATCATACCATAAAACACTTCCAAGTCTCGTTAACTAGCATTCGAAGCACTCTTGCTCATCAACTTTGCTACCATCTCCTGCACCCGCTTCATCTCCTCCAGCTGCGTGGTCACTTGGTACAGTCTGTTCTCGCGTTCTACTACTGTCTTTTCCAATTGTTTTATCATCTTAAAACAAAAAAATATTTATTTTTTACTAACGCCTCACATTCATTTCTCTCGGGTTCGTACTAGGTACATTTTAACGGTTAATATGGAATAGATAGATTATATTATATGCATATATTATGTATGATGAGTTGTTGTGGATTATATATAACGTGGGAATGTCACTATGTCACTGTGTTGTGTGAGTCGCTAGTTATTTTTATTCCACGAAACTTACATTATCCCTTTGCTCGAGTTCTCGCCTCAAGGCGGTGTCTGCGGCTGCCGCTTCCTCTAGTTTCTTATCCCTCTGTTTGACTCTCTCTTCGAATTTTATCAAAACACCCGCTAATTCACTGTTTTTGCTTGTCTGATAATACAAAAATTCTTATTTATAATATAATCAACTGATTAGAAATATATTATGATTATTGGAAAAATTAAAAAAAAATGTTTTCAATCAAGAATCACTTTAAATATGAAGATAAAAATAACTATCGTATCTATCACTTATCGCGATATATGTATTTCATAGAATAAAACTTTATTAAGTGACGCACCAATAATACAGAAATACAAATAATACGTGTAAAATTACCTGCTGTTCCAATTTCTTCTGCAACGTCCTACTGTCCGCCTCTATTTGTTTCAATCTTTCCTCCGCTTCTCTTTCACGTATTTTCATTTCACTTTCAATATTCTGTAACAAAAATAAACATAATGTAGAAAAATTATATATTAACACCACATTTTTCTATATAAAAAATAACATAATATTAATTAAAACAATATTACTTATTGAATTTAACGCCACCTACAAAACTTGTGTGAAACAAAAAAGCTATCTAAGACCGACAATAGATGGCGCTATAGCGTAAAAAAGGCTTTACATCACTATTTAAAATAATATGTAATATAATTTACATTAAAATATTAAATAAACAAATAACATTGTTAATAATAATTATAAATTAAACTATTTACGTACAGCGATTTGCGATCTAAACTCCTTTTGTAAGTTTTCTTTTTGATTCTCCTTATCGAGCCTTTCAGCGGCTAACTTCGCACGGAACCCACGCAGCGTTGTTTCCGCATCTTCTAATTGCTTGTGAAGGTCTTCTATTGTCTTTTTATGTCTAGAATAAAAAAATATATATATAAGAAATTTATAATATAAAAAAAATAAAAATGTCAAATTTATGTAAAAAATATATAAAAAAAACATTAATTTTATAAATTGAGTGATAACTTAAAACGTTATTTAAAAAATATATATTCATAACATTATTTTACTACGATAAAAATATAAAAAGAGTAATGCATCGGCCGGGAATCGAACCCGGGCCGCCCGCGTGGCAGGCGAGCATTCTACCACTGAACCACCGATGCTTATACCATATATAGTAAAATTAGCGTATTAAATCATAAACTGACCCAGAATTTATATATTATAAAAATACATACATATACTTTTTCCATTATTCAAAACAATTTTCACCGACTTCCAAAAAGGAGGAGATACTCAATTCAACAGAATCTTTTTTTTATGTATGTTCACGGATTACTCGAAGACGCCTGAACCGATTTGGAAAATTTATTATCCAAATCAGTAGAGCGGTTTTTAAAAAAAACAACAAATACTTTTTTTTAAATAAATTGCTCAATCGAATATGTTATTAATAAAAAACTTTCTTCTTACAAATTACCTGCTAATTACGCCTACACTAAAAATGGAAAAATAAAAACTTAACTCCTACGCCCTCCGTGGTTAGTTTCCGGGAAATCAAAATATGTTAACTAACTGCCATGCCGACATGATCGCGACCGTTGAAGCGTTAAAAAAACCGACCTCCAGATACTAAAATGTAAAAATAACTAAATGGAGGTTTTCATTTCGAATAGATACCTATTAATCAGATATTTTCGAAGTCGGTGCCAGCTGACAATATTTTAAGATATGAATATCAAATAGATAAATATGAATAGGTATGAACCTCTAATTATATTTAAAATATTATTATACATCAATTTGTGAAATAGATTTCTTTTGTTTTGCATTGGTTGGCACAGAGTACAAAAATATCTGATTAGGTATGATTATATTCTAAATGAAATGAAAATTGAAAAAAAATGAATGAAATTCTAAAATGCTTTTACTTATTTTTTTACTTTTTAGTGCCTGGAAGTCTGTTTTAATTGATTTTTTTAAAAGTTTTAATGCTATTGAATAGTGATTGGAGTGTATTTAAGATAACACCAATAATATAAGGCATTTAGCAAGCAAATATATACGAACTTTTGTATGGTGATATAATGGGGAATACGGATTTGGCTGAAATTCTAAATTGTGAGTGCAGCCGCAGGCAAAGCTTAGTCCTATATTTTAATGTATATAGTAAACTATACTCACTTTTCATTTTGCATTTGCGTATTGTACAACACATCTTGTTGTGCCGAGTTGGTAGCTTGCAATAGAGCTAACGCGTGTTGTAATGACGCCATGTGCTCTGTGGCACCCTGATGTGAAAAAAATACTCAAACAATAAGTACCTGGATGTTTTTCGGAAAAGATATAAAAATTGGGTTTTAACAGAAAAGACATCTGTATATAGAAAAATTTAAAAAGCAAAATCTTATATAAATCCAAAATTATACCCCGATTAAAGATTATATATACATATAAATTTTAACGTAGTTTTATATAATATTTCTCTTGCAAAATTATCAATTGAAAGCAGAAATTAAAGGACTAATATTAACTAGAATGGTGATTTATTAAATATCATAAAGCTTTTAAAACCTCTAAAAAGGTACCAATTACAAGATCACTTTAAAATTCAAACTCTAAGAGTATAAATCATTTTTAAAACTATATTATATACCGACTATTTGGGTTACAAGTGATAAATTAAAAATTTTAACAACCTCCAACCATCTTGGACCGATTTTCATCAAACATAGCTTATAACACTCCCGATTAATTCACCATTCAAACAAAAAAAAATCAAAATCAAAATCGGTTCATCCTTTCGAAAGCTACGATGCCACAGACAGATACACACACACGCACACAGATACGTCAAACTTATAACACCCCTTCGTTTTTGCGTCGGGGTTATAAAATAGAAATGAAATCGATGATAGTTATATCATATATAGTAGATATGTATTAGAAATTATAAAACTTTTATATCCCCACCTGCAAAGCGACTGAATGCGAGTGCAGCCTTTGCTCTAAGCATGTCATCTTGTAACCATACAACTCCATAACGCTCGAAGTCGCTATATCGGAGATCTGGAAACAAATAGATTAACAATATTATATTTAGCTCCTTTACTCCCTCTCGTCTCAATGCAAGAGAAGATCAGCATATGATAAAATAATACTAACTTTAGTTCATTATTATTTCCTTCACTTAGTGGCTAACATACACGCCTGTAGTGGGGTACCTAGCATATTTAGTTTTATAACACTAGCGACTCATCCTCGCTCCGCTCGGCTTCGTCCCAAGCTGGTTTTTTAAATTGACGTAACTTTTTTATTTATGAACCGATTGAAATAAATCAAATACTAAATGATAAGTGAAGCTTACCACAATATTTTAGTGAAAACCGCATCCAATTCAGTTAAGCCGTTTCTGAGATTAGCGCGCACAAACACATAAACAGACAAAAATTCTAAAAATCATTGTTTTGGGTTCTATTGCGTAAATAAAGACCCCCAATGATAGGTTTTCTCAAACATCTTCCATGTAAAGACAACGATCAGTTACACTTTTATTATATGTATAGATAGAAGATTACGTAGTTTTACGTCAAAGTTTAAGCCCACCTTGCCCGCGTGCAGGGCGTCAGCCAGTCCCGCGACCAGCGCGTCCACGGCCAGCTCCTGCGCGGGCGTGAGGCGCTCCGCCCACGGCGCCTCGCCCTCAGCCTCCGCCACGCGCGGGGACACGCTCTCCGCGCTCACGTTCGATATGTTGTGGAGACTTTCACCGAATATCTGAAATTTATCCCATAATCCTATTAATATTATAAACTAGCGACTCACCATAGCTTCACTCGAGTTCGTCCCTAGGTACGTTTAGACAGTTAGTATGGAATAAAAATCTTAGAATTTCTCGGTCATTCTGTACTATAATATGCATGTATTATACATATAAACCTTCCTCTTGAGTCACTATCTATTAAAACAAACCGCATTAAAATCCGTTGCGTTGTTTTAAAGATCTAAGCATACATAGCGACAGATAGACAGCGGGAAGCGACTTTGTTTTATACTATGTAGTGATGTGAAAGTTTGGATGGATGGATGTTTGTTACAATATGGGTGGAAAAACACAGAGATAAGATTATAGTCCGGAATAGTACATAGTTTACTTTTAATCCCGGAAAAATGTACGTTTCCCGTGGGACAGATTTGTTTTTGTTTAGGAACGAATCCAAAGCGAAATGAGGATAAGTCGCTAGTACATGTATAAACGATCATACCTGATTCATTTGATCAGACGGGAAATAGTGATGTTTGACCAGTTGCAATATTTGTCTCCGTCGCGACCCATTATTGTTCGTCAGACCAACGCATAGTAGCTTTCGAACCTAAATTTAAAAGATAAATTAGGAATGAATACTTATTATAAACTAATAATCTCCGCAATAGGACAATGTTCTACCAGACAAAGACCGCAGTGGAGATGTTAATTAAAAAAAAAGTATATTTGCTGTTTTAATTGAAATCTTTATTTTTATTTCTTATGTATAATATTAAATTTTCGACAAACTTTTAGTTAATTTTGCAGTGAATAATTACGTTCACAGTGCACAAAATTTGACAGTATGTATAATATGCCTTAATAAAAAAATAATTTTTCGTGTCACTTTTCGTGCCAATACTTACAATTCATCATCTAAAGTCTAATACTATCCCTAAGTATATAAATGGCGGATTTTTTTACAATTTATATAGGAATTGATTTAAACTCATATCCTCCATTAAGAAAGTCGGTCAACAAAAGATATAAACCTGATGATGTGCCAGCATTCTGTTGAAGGCCGCCTCCCAGTGCTTAGATAGCGGTGCAAGAGCGAGGCCGCACCGACACGCCAGCACGACGCTCTGCTGCGCCATCTCCATACCCACTGGACCGTTCTGGAATGAAAACCAAAATCACTACATAGTATAAAACAAAGTCGCTCCCCGCTATCTGTCTGTCCCTATGTATGCTTAGATCTTTAAAACTACGCAACGGATTTTGATGTATTATTTTTTAATAGATAGAGTGATTCAAGAGGAAGGTTTATGTGTTTTTTTCAATTCAATTCAACGATTTGTATTTCATGCTAACCGTTAAATCGTACCTAGGGACGAACCCGAGCGAACCAAGGGTCAGTCGCTAGTCAAATTATAATATACTAGCAAAACCATAAAAAAACTCGATAAGGTTCGTTTCATACAAACTTTGATCCCCTATTTTACCCTCATATGGGATGAATTTCGAAAAATGCTATAACACATTTATTTTATAGTATTGAAGATCATTAATATCAAGTTTCAAGTTTTTTGGTTGTATTATAACGTGCTTTCCCGTAGGAATGAGATAGTCTTCAGCGGCAAAAGTAGCCTAAGTCACTTTCTAGCCTTCATACTATCTCCACACAAAAAACACGCCAATCCGTCACTATGTTTTGACGTGAAAAAAGGACAAACAAACAAACACACTATCACAATTATAATATTACTAGTATGAATTTTATTCTTAAGTACTTTGTATTATGTAATATGTATGTTGTTCGTGTTTGTAGCCCGGACAGCAATTCTGCTTAAAACCGACGAGAAGTTCAACAACAAGGACATACTCGTATATGTATATAACAAAATAATAATTATATACTTGTATGTATGTTGTATACTGTAGTACGTGTAGTGTGCTCTCTAATATTCGCATGTACGTATCATTTCTGTCTTTGTCTGTCTGTTTGTTCGTTCTGGATAATATCTGAAACAGCTGGACTGATTTTGACGGGACTTTCACTGGAAGATAGCTGATGTTAAGTTATTATTGTTAGGGAGTAACGTAGGCTACTTTTAATTTAGAAAAAGAATTAGGTCTCCGCTCAAAAAAATAAAACGTACCTAGCATCGAGACGAACCCGAGCAAAGCGAGAATGAGTCGCTAGTAAAAAATATACCTGTGACGTGTACTGCAGTACACTGTATAAAGTATCTTCAAACGAGTCTGGAGTCACTTCTTGTAGCACACGCTCTTGAGTCTCGCTGATCTCGCACAGAGCACCTACCACTTGCAGCTAAAACATAACAATAATATATATATAATAAAATAAGTGCGTGTAACCTTTACGCGCATAACCTTTTTTAAAAAAACACTCTACTGTAAAGTACCACAAGTATTGATTATTTGAAAAAATAAGCACTAAAGAGACGACAAAAGTATCAAAAAGCATACCCATTGTAATCCAGCTTTTCCAGGTTCTAGAGCAGGCGGCACTAAAAGTGCGGGCAGACCGTCACTTAAGACCGATAGTAATTCTTGTGGTAAAGTACCTTCATCTGTAAGTAAATACAATTATTATTATATATACAATTTTTAAATAATAGGAAGCTTAAAAATGGTGACAGTGTAGAGATGTTTAATTGTCTCAGTTTGTATGGACATGTGAAGTAGCGGATGAGACGCATGTGATGAGAGAGTGATGGTAATGAATTGACGACACGTTTGCCTCAGTTAATAGTGCCCTGCCCTATTTACTGTGCCAGCGGTCCCGGATTCGAGTCCCGCTGGGGGCATTCATTTGTGTGATGAGCACGAATGTTTGTACTCACGGTTGTTTGTATTTATAAGAAAAACACATTTTTTTTAATTTTTGTCTGTCTGTCCGATTGTTTCAGCTAATTCGAAAACGGCTGGGCTGATTTTGACGTAACTTTCACTGGCAGATAACTAAAGCTACTTTAATTTTAGAAAAAGAATTACGGTTCCGCTCAAAAAAATTAAAACGTACGTGAGTATGTCGCTAGTATAGAATATGTTTTATTCCGGAAATATACAGGTTTCCAGCGTGAAAATCGAAAATCGTTAAAAATTAATCAAAATTCGAATTTACGTTTCTAAACTGCTCGGAAAGCACCCGAGCGAAGCGAGGATAATTCGTAGTGAATAATAAAAACGTTAATCAAAATATAACCTTTGTATTGTAAAACAATGGCCGCGAAGAGCTCTAAAGACTCTGCCAAGCACACTCTGCTCGACTTCATACATAAACAGACCAGATGGGAGTGATGGCATCTTAGTGAGTATAAATCTGTAAATGGAAAATATTCAAATAACAAAATATATATTTAAGAAGTGATGCCCTTTTTTGTAATAGACTAGTTTTTTTGACCGACTTTAAAACGGAAGCAGTGCATTCTACTAATATTATAAACATACAAGTTTGTGAGGAGGGATGGATGGATGTTTGTTACTCTTTCACACAAGAACTACTGAACAGATTTGAATGAAACTTTACAGTCATATAATATCTTATACATTATACTGACACTTAGGCTATAATTTTTTTAAATTAACTATATTCATAATTGACCTTTTTTTTTAACGTTGGGAAATGCATTTACGCACGAGGTGTGGGACTCACCGGCAAAGCCAGTACTACCCACTAAAACCCAACAAAGCCGTCCCCCGTCTTAATGGGGCGTCGCAGGATCGCTTACGCATTCAACTACGACGCCCCGACGGCAGGTCTGCCGAAGCAGACCACAACAACCACGGGGTTGCTCCAAGGTCCACTCTGCTATCAGAGAAGTACCAGGAGCAACCCGCATGGTACACCGCCCTCCGAAGAGGGCCACCTCCCACCGGCCACCGAAGTGGGCCACCTCCCTGTGCGTTTCTTGGCTTCGCGCCCGGTTGGGTTGCCGGGCACTACTGAGCCCCCCCACCACGACAAGTTGAACGCACGTTGGGGGGGATAATTGACCTACCCTAGGTATGTTGAAAATGGTTAGTATGGAATAGATAGGTTTTATATTATAACTATAGCCTATTTATTATATTATAAATAGGCTATAGCCTTCCTCAATAAAATATCTAATTCAAAAAGAATTTTCAAATTAGATTTGTAGTTCCTGAGATTAACTGCTTATCAAACTGTGCCTCTTTATAATATATTTATTTTAACTGTAACATTTCCCTTTTTAAATATAATAACCCTGTGAGACAAACAAACACAGGTGTGCGTTATAAGAGGATAACGCTAACAGGATTGGTCAGTCGGTCAAGTGAATTGAGGATGACGGAACCAGTTGTATCGAAAATATTGATTTTACAATAAAATCCCAATGTTACATAATACATATAAAAAATATACCTAAGTTTACTAAAACGGTAAGAAACTTCAGTACATTTCGCAGGCAGTTCATTGCATTCTCCGGTTCACCCGTGTCGTCTGGTGCAGATTTACACAGCTGATCCATATTCTGAAATGAAAGTTATTGGAATATTAAAACAATGACGCTTTATGTTAGGAGTAATTTTACAATACTAAATTAGTCACATTTATTTTCATAATTAGGAATTTTAATAACACACCAATCAGCACAAGTTCACGCACAACAGGGAAATCTGCCTAAGTGCAGAAAAAGCCAAGTACGAAGAAGAAGAAGATTCCACTTTTTTTATTTAATATATGACCCTTCAGAAGTATACTTTATTAAAAAAACCATTCACAATTTGACATCTCAGTGCTTATTTGTCCAAACGACCAATTTACTGAAAGTGTTTTTAAAACACAATTACTTAATTAAAAATCTACTCTATTATATTAAATAAACATTTTACTTAAAAAAACCACACACATGTATTTTATCTCAATAAATATAAATCTAAGAAAAGCTTTGTATTTAAAATACAGAGAAAAACTTTCCACTGTAAAGTAAAACAAGTATTTGCGGTTTGAACTTTGAACGAACAAGCACTTGGGCGACGAATTGGATAAAATAATGCAAAGCATTTGGCAACCATAGCAGTATCAGAACCAGAAATCAAATCATTGACTACAAGTTTCTTAAGTCAAAAAATTATATTAAAAAATAAATTATATATAGGTACCTTCAAAGCATCTTGGAGTGAGTTTGAAAAGTGCGGATAAGTGAGTACATAGCTTTTTAAATTGTTGTCCGAACACAAGTCATTAATAAATGTATATGAATGAAGTAATTGTGTAGAATCTCTTTCTCTGAAAGCAAAAGACGATACAATAATTTAATATCAACATGCTAATCTATACATATAATAAAATTGTAAATAAGCCGAATCTGTACATTAAATATTTTTTGGAAAATCTTATTGAAATGAAAATTATTATCGATACAGAGGCCGAATCTATAGTTTTTAGAATTTTTGTCTGTCTGTCTGTTACCGCATCACAGAAAAACTACTGGAGGGATTTTGCTGAAATTTGATATGGTGATAGCTGGCTATCCAGGTCAACATATAGAATACATAAAAATACAAAAACTGCAATGTAAGAGTATACTAATACGTAAAACCTAAGAATTTGGTTTTTTGTCATCTGAACGCGGGTGGAGCCGCGGGCAATGCCAGTTTATGATATAACTCTTTAGTGAAACATTTGAATCACTTACATTACAGTTAGTTTAAAGCATGTTTTGGTAGTTTTCTAAAATATTACTTTTTGGATAATCAACGTACTACGAGGTATGGGGATGAAACACCGCCAACTTCCCTACTCAGGGATGTACTGGCACTTCCTTAAGGGAAAGACTTAATAACTAAACTTGGCCCGATCCGGGACTCGAACCCAAGACCTCTAGACGAAACGTACACACTACAGCCACTTTACCACCAAGCTACTTACACAAGATAATATATAGATAGTGTTATCAATATAACTTACACAACAGCTTTACTAAAAGTTCTCATAGTACAACACAGATAGCTATGTACATCTGGTTGTCTTGTTGAAGCCGAGCCTCTGGTAGCACTTGAGAGGCATAACAATAATCGGCATACTTCAACTCCACCATAGCCACCGTCCTGAAAAAAGAAACCCTGTAATTTAAAAATAATTCATATACAAGAAAAAAAGTTTGAAGATTGAAATGTAGATTAATAAAATACTGGTGCAAAAAAATATAAAAAAATATATTAAAATATCAAATTGGAGTTGGTGTACTATTTTAGTTGAAATGTAATTTATTCAGTCAAAATTTGTAACAAACTGTTTTTAAAGAACTAACACATTTGATCTAATTACATACCATAATATTGTAACTAAGACGAATCTGTACATTAAATATTTTTTTGGAAAATCTTATTGAAATAGACATCATTTTCAATACAGAGGCTTAATCTATAGTTTTTAGAATATCTGTCTGTATGTGACCGCATCACGGAAACACCACTGGAGGGATTTTGATGAAGATAAGTATGTTGATAGCTGCTTATCCGGTTCAACATATAGGATACTTTTTACTGCGGGAGAATATCTCATCTCTGAGAAAACTATACTAAACGTTAAAACGTAAGTAGGGACGAATCAGAGCGGCGCGAGGGTGAGTCGCTAATAGTAATTATAATCATTGAAATTAATTCAAACATATAAAAATTTTTGGAAATACATCTTTAAAAAAAATCATATGCTTATTTCTTACCTTCAAACTAATCAAGTGAACAACAAAATCTTTAGTATCAACTGTTCTCATCAGTGCATATATCGCTGGGAGATTCCCATAGCAAACATTAACAAGCACTGTCAGGGACTTGTGACCTATAGTTCGATGTTGTGGCTCCATCATTGGTTGCGTTATCCAATCTGTTAATTGCTTCATCAACCCTGATAGATATGACTCTTGCCAGCTAATTTTAATTCCATATGAGATGTCCTAAAATAAAATTGAATAATATAATTTATAAGATTAATATTCTTAGTGAATGAAAAAACCAGGGCTCGTAACCAGTTATGAAAAGAATGGTTTGTTTTGGTAATGTAATGGTTAATTCATCAGTCGTTCTTTAATTGGTTAATGAAAACGAATGGTTTAGTAAACCGAAATAATAATGTTTATTGGTAATCTTAGAGAAATTTTGGATTTCAGTTTTGATACTGAAATAAACCAGTTTATTCATTCATAAGTAAGAAACGTATATATATCCTTCTACTAAACAATTCACCATTAGCAAAGATTCGCCAAATGTAAACGCACAAAAACTACCGGTTAATATCTATCATGGAACCTAATTTAGTCAAAAACCATTCTCCGGGATTTACCCAATTAAACAATGTAACCGAAACATTTGACCACCTTTCTGTTTGAGGTCAACAGAAAGGCGGTCAAACTGATACAGAACTGGTCTGTAACCCGTTCAATTTTTAAACCAGTTTTGACCGGTTTAAAAATTGAACAGGTTTCAGAGCCCTGAAAAAAACATGATGTCCTCTATGTAAGAAACATGCTAAATATAATTCATTTTTATGTTACTTTTCAATAGATCTATTCTCACCTGCATCACAGAAAGCAGTTTTATTTTTTTATCATTTGATATTGTGTCACTCAATAATCTAGTCAAGATAGGCATGAATCTGTAAGTGAAATATTATAGTTAATCAAAATACACTGTTATAAAGAAGTGATCCTGATATAGAAAATTATACAATACTAGTGGCTCACCCTCGCTTTGCTCGGGTTTGCCTTTAGAAAAACAAAATCTAATCTATTCTATGAGAACGGTACATATTTCTGGGATAAAAAGTAGCCTATGTGTTATTCTAATGTATGAAGTATATAATTGTAAGGTTTCATTAAAATCCATTCAGAAGTTTGTGCGTAAAAGAGTAATAAACATCCATACTTCCTCCCAAACTTTCGCATTTATAATAATAATAGGATACACTAATAGTGAAGTTTAAGGTATAATTTTTAAGTTCATTTTTAGATTATTTACGTACTTGTAAGTATGTGTTAATGCATGCCTAGCACTTTCTTCAATACATGCTCTCGCTAGTACTGCTACACCAGCCCAGTGAGGACCCCTGCCATCACACATAACACGCCACAATGAACTAAAGAAGGCACAAACTTCGCTGCGTCCAGGCGAAAATATTGAGAGATCACATGAAGATGCGATTAACTAGAAATACACATAAATGTTTGTTATGTTATTGTATATTATGTGAATTGTAATTGCACAAAATATTAATGAGTAAATACTTACTCCTAAGTAACGAGTCATCATATTAATAGCAGATTCACTGTGAGTGGCCTCAAATTCACGGGCTGCATTTACAAACGCCTTTAAATTAGCAAATTTGGCCCCATCCGAAGGATTACTGTTCCAAATTTCTGCTCCATCAACTTCCATCATTATGAAAATAATGAGCAACCTTCTACTAAAATAATTTGTGTATATCTAGTTAACAAATAAAACCTTATTATTTTATTAGTAAGTGATAAAAACATTTAAAAAGAGTCAAATTTCTAAAAACTAAAAACTAACATGCAATTTTAACTTCAACTGTTTCTTTTAATCAAATTGATACGATTGGTTGATTGAGAAAATAACTTGTTAACTATATTCTCATTGGTAAAAAAGTTTTATTTACAAATTACATGTACGTGATTGGTTACCACAGGTAATATTAGCTATTTAAAAATATGACCTAAATATTATGACCTTAAATAAAATAAGATAACATAAATTTATAGAACATAAATAATATACAAAAGCAATAATTTATTGAAATCATTAAAGGTTGGCAATAGTTACCTTTTTATAGATTTAATTATGATAGATAATTTTGTTATATATTATAGTCCCCGTTTTTGAAATGGGAAAGATTTCTCAACAGAATGGCGCCACACGTATTGCCTATTTACATTTAGTCTGAGGATAAGCAAATTGTGATATATCTTTTGTACCTAGTTTTTTGCTTCTATTGTGTTCGCATCTTACCTGTGTAATGTATTGTACCTGGAAGTTAAACCAGCTGAAGGAAGAATTGAGAAGGAGAGGTGCATCCTGTGGAGATCTCGACTGACTCATGGATCCACACACAGCCTAAAAACCGCTGGCCATAGAAACGTGTAATGACGTATTCCTTTTAAGATGTAGCCATCCGATTACAAAGAATTTATTAAAATTCATCCCTTAAGTGGGTAAAATAGGGGATTAAAAACTATATGAAACTCTCATTCTTAATGTGAAATACACAAAAAGTGGTATTTGGCTTTAAAATAATAAATAAGAAAAATATTTATTTAATTTTTTTCGAAAGCTTAATTGGGCAAAGAATTATTTATGATCAGAATTATTTGAAACTTGGTATTAATGGTTTTCAATACAATTAAATAAATACATGTTTAAGCATTTTTTGAAATTCAATCACATAAATTCAATAATTCAAGCACAAATAATAAAAAAGAATATTCAAGAAGATTGTGATTTCGCAAATTTTGGCCGTCTTATTGCTTTAACCCACAATTCCATCAGTTTTTGTTTTTTGGGAACAAATGATATCTATTTTCTTTGCATCCTGGTACTGCATAATTTGTCATTTTAGTTAAATTTTAAATAAAATGAAAATAAAACCATCCACGCTATAAAGCTTTACAATATATTGATGGCTATAGTTACCGCAACATCTGGTAGGAGAAAACGCAACATTCTTCCCCATGAAATAGATCAGTCGAACCTTCCTCCATAGAGTATGTAATTATGTATGTAACTATTTTGCTCTCGTCTGAGCCCCATTCAAAGATAGAGCTGCTTAGTATTTAGTCATTACTTCTTGCTCTTGTCAAACAAATGTCAGCTCGACAGTTGTCAATTCAATTAAAAAATGTTATTTGTATTTATTTCAACTGAATAAATTTGTAATAATATTATATCAAATTACGAACGATAATCCCAAAAAAATGGCGTTACCAGCTGCACAGCCAGCCGAGATTCTACGCGCTTGGCAAAAAGATGATTTGTATGAGAAACAATTTGCTGGATTCTTAGCTAGATTAATGCCTCCACATCACGCATCGAAAGCTGTACCAGTGTCATCGTTAGTATACAAGTCTTTCACGACTCTCAAAGACTTGCAAACACTTGGAGAAGAATATTCAGGGATTGTTCAAGTTGATGAAACATACCACAAGTTGCCGACATTTAGTAGTAGACTCATTAGTATCCTTCTTTCAGCTTTTGGTGAAAATTTAACTAGAAGATTACTTAATTATATAGAAAAACAGATTGAAAAGAATGCAACTTTAAAACCTGAAGCACAAAATTTGATTCTAGTTATTTTAAAAACACTAAATAATATAGTTCCACAAATTGAAAGCATTCATCGGGCACTTTCATACATCACTGGCGGGCCATTACAAATTGGTAAAACTGTGACTGGCATTAATTATGTACATGTTAGACCTGCAGCAGCTGCATATTATGCTCATTTAAGATTATTAGGAATGGTTACTCTTTTACATGCATTTATTTCATGTGGACAAACATTCTATCAAGCTAAGAAATATATTGATGAAATGAAAGATTTTCCTAATGAAGTGGATAGTAGTAAGTCCTGTGTAGCATGCTTAGAAGAAATAATCCAGCCCTGTGTTTTGCAATGTGGTCATTTGTTTTGTATGAACTGCTGTTATGGGGCATTAGAAACCTGTCCTTTATGTCGGACCCCATTTACTAAAAATACTGTGATTCCTTTAATGAATTACAGACCTGGTAAAGTGTAAATATTACTTAAAAAAATAAAGATGCTAATAATATTAAAGAGGTAATTGATTTGATAAATATTTATGGAAAAAAAATATTTTTCTATTAAAGATTACATACAACTTTGTTATTATAATTGTTATTATTATTATCTCTTTAGAATTAGAAGAGAGGTTCAAGTTTGTTTAATGTGACACATCAGCCGGGAACTATGTTTGAGTAACCTATAGGGATTGCCCAATGATGACCTGTGCATAGGATTATGTAAAATATGGAAAACTAAATAGGATTATGGAATGGAGTTTGGATGGGCTAAAAATTGGGCTATTGGATGAGACTACTGGATGATCATCTGCTCAAGTCTCAGATTGAATATTTGCAGGACAGTGACCTGCTTCCCACAAAGCGGCAGTGACTTGGGTGCAACATCGGCCTGATTGGCTAAGGGTGTCGAGATGTGTGCACCATCACAAGAGTGCTCATGAGTTGGAGAGTGGGTTTCTCCATTATTATGTAGATTGAGCTCTTTCACCATTTCGAGCAATTGACTCTTGCACTCCACTCTGGACGGACAACAAAAATAAGCTAGAAGCAGGGGACAGATGGTGTTTCCCCCAGGGGTCTCAGGTCTGTAGTGTCACCACTCACCAACAGCTCGCTCTGTGGGCTTATTACTATTATTATGAATGTTTATTTTTGTAATTAAATGTGATTAAAATTATGTCTTTATAATTAAAACCCACAATCTTAACAAAATGCCTTTTATTTAAACTATTATTAAAATTATAAAACTGTTAAACAATTTATGGGAGGTTAATTTGTTAACTGGCAATGCGCCAAGTATAAATAACTTAAAAGCAAAATTGAATAAAACTAATAAATTGGAATCAGAGGGAATTATTAACTATAATGAAATTGTCCCTAAATCTGGAACTGTTTATTAATATTAGAAGTTTTTTTTAAAATGAAAATAAAAGGATTAAAATTAAAACAAATACTTTTTCCATTAATTATTAATTTAAATATTAGTAGAAATATTATTAAAGTCCTATGTCAGATCTAAGGTCTTATTCATATCAGTTCATATTCCCTTATTGAATTTACATTAAACAATATTTATAAATCTTTTTTTCTGTTAGCTCATAAGCATTAACAAGTTTCATTTAAATTTACTTTACCATGAAGAAGTACATAATATAATATACAATAATAGTGAAAATAAAGTAACATTAAAAATACTTTAACAATGTATAAATAAAAGTCATAAGCCAAATGAGTTTGAGTACTGTACTGGTTATAACGAAATATTTAAATAATTTGTGTTTATAACTAAAAACAATAATTACAGTAAGGACGAAACTAAACCTAAACCCATGGCAAGAAAATTATTCAACTCGCAAAAGTTCAACATCAAATATTAATGTAGCATTTGGTGGAATAACACCAGGGTGGCCTCTAGATCCATAAGCAAAATCAGGTGAACATGTCAGTCTTGCTCGTTCTCCTACCGACATCTGAAGTAGTAATAATTAATATTGTATGGTATAAAATAAAAGCAAAATTGTTATTTTCCAGAAGCGTTATTTTATGTAAATTATATGCACACCTTAGCTAATCCTTGATCCCAGCCTTTAATAACATCCCCTTTTCCCAATGTAAATTTAAAGGGTTGACCTCGATCCCTCGAGGAATCAAACTTTTTGCCATTTTGAAGAGTACCCGTGTAATGGACGACTACAGTTTGACCGGGCTTAGGATAGGTAGATCCTGAAAACAGATCCGGTTTTTTCGGTGAAAAGTACTGTTCGCCAATACTTTACTTATTATTAGTTCTTATTATTACGAACCATTTCCAGGTGACAGAGTTTCTACATCTACGCCCATCTTCTAATAAATAATGGAAAATTAATAAGTAAACACGTAGAAATTACCAAAACAACTTCTTTAACGGATAAACGCTAATTTTCGTCATTGACATCTGGGTTGACAATAGAAAATCGACATTCGACATTTAGTGAGAACTATTGACAGTTTGAAATAATTGTAGGAAAAAATTAATGCAAACAAAATAAAAAAAAAATTTTAGACTGAGTCAAAAGAATAAGATATTACAATGAATATAACAAAATTATATTCACTATTTCGCCTTGATTGTGCTATATAACTTTCATCGTTTTAAACTGAGTCTGTGAGCTGTAACTTTGATTTTATCTATGATTTAATTATCTACGATCTGTCAGATTGAAGTTATTAGCTACAGATGTCGCTATGTAATATAAATATGATAAATATGTCGCTAATAAATTAAAAATATTATTGATAAATATTATTTGATTCACATTTTTTATTAAATAAAGGAGAAAATGGTTTCAAGTGAAGAAGAAGCAGATGTAAAACCAGGTGAAACAGTTGAATGGGACGTTGACATGGAAATACAGTTATTCTATGCGATGGCAAACCATAAGCCGGTTGGAATAAGCAAACATTTCCAAATGGCTTGTATATGGGAAAAGTTGTCAAACTCAATAACTAAAGAGATATCTACGCATGATATTTGGCGGCATTTGGACACACTCTATGATATGACTATGTTAGATGATACAGAACCAATACCTTTTCCAAATCAGGAGACACCTTTTAGTTTGCCGGAAAGCGAGTTTGGTACATTAATGAAACAAAAATGCAAAGAGACTATTGTAGCTGATGATAGTGAAGGTAATGTTTGTTTTAGTATATTACTTTATACTTATTCAATGGTACCTAATAGAGATGTTTTAAAAAATAAATTGAATAATTTGAAACAAATTGAATAAATTTTATGAATAAAACTATTAGGCTATTATAATGTTCTTCATATAGATGGTAGGAGTCCTTCACCCAAAACATCTACACCTCGAAGCAACTCTAGAGGCACAGCATCAAAGGATAGTACACCAAAAGGTTTGTTGTTTTGGATTCCTATTGTAAATAATAAATTTTATAATAATAAATAAAACTTTTAAAGTGTTATATTTTATAAGTACCTATATAAAATAATTCTAATATTATCTATATTGTATCCCATAATTATACTAATTATATTTTTCATCAGTATAAATAAATGAAATACAACATTTTATATTTAAATCAGGTCGTAAAGATAGCATAGGTGCCCTTGCAACAAAGACTAGGAAAGAAAGTGGAAGTTCTCATGCCTCAACTGACACACCAAGTATTAAATCAGAAAAAGAATATGGCAAGTACCAATTTTTATTAAGTTTACTAACACTATACCTACTCTAACTAAAAATAAGTGACAAATAAAAAATATTTTCATATTTTGCCTTTGGCTTTTTCTGTGTAAAGAGATTTTACTTATAGAGAATGAATACCCATAAATTGTTACAATGTGTTTTACATGTAATATGTCACTAAAATTATCTTATTCTGTATACATACATATTAATAAAAAAATGTTTAATTTATATTACAATTATTACACAATACATTACATATTTTAAAATTTATACATATAAATACAATGTGTAATATATATTTTTTTTAACTCTTAATGTAGACAGGAGGAGAGATTCACGGGATTCTAATGCTTCTGGTCCAAGAGACAATTCATCAAGCAGAAAATCTATATCACAGAGAGATAAACCAGCAAAATCTAAAATTACTTCTGTTGCAGGTTTGTGTATGTTCTTTATGTACTTCTTTTTGTTTGTATTGTTCTTTTTGACTAAAAGTCAGAACACTCGTAAATTGATTGTTTATATTAAATAGTAGGCACTTAGCCTCATTTTACTTGTGTGCATCCCTAGGTGCCTAATAGTGTAATAGTAATACTTCAGGTTCTTAGTCTACTTGTCTATATTTCATCCCAAGGCAATTCAAGAAGGAGTAATAAACATACATAAAACACAAACTTTTGCAATTATATTATTATAATTTATCCAATAAAGCATTATAAATAATAATAAATAAATATGTCAGGACATTGAACACTACATATTATAAATACAAACACCCATGACTGGAGTACATACATTCATGGTCATTGCACAAATGTATGTCCCCAGCGGGACTCGAATCCACAGCCCATCCACTAGCACAGAGAGTAGGGTCACTACAAACTGAGCCAAACATGTTGTCATAGTACAGTAGTAATACTTCAGGTTCTTAGTCTATATTTCATTTAAAGCCATTTCATGTAGGAGTAATAAACATACACAAACATATAAAACTTTGTAATTATATAAAAATTCCTCTAATAAATTACAATAATAAACAAGTAATTGTTCCTATAGCATGGGATTCCCCATTAATAGACGAAGATGGTGGATCACGACGTGGGCGTCGACGCGCCAACACCTCAACCCCACCTGCAACTACCCCAGCAAAGCGTAGACGAATGTGACATTCAAATACACACTCGTATCACCATTTCTTCTGACATACACACCCATGGCGGCAGCGTTCTAGCCCTTTACAATATTCTGTGCATGGAAATAAACTTTCTTATCTGTATGAGTCCCGAAGCACTATGGCTCGAACAAGACGCAACGCTGTCAATGTTTTTTTCTGTTAGGGTGTAAACTTTGGTATAAGTGTATTTGAGGAGATTTAATTTTGTTTTATGATAAATTATTTTTTTAATTAATTGTAAATATTTATAGATTAACACTAAATGAATTTGTCTTTGTAATTGTTGTTTTTTTTTATTCATTCATTTGATTGAGCTACAGTATACGAGTAAAGAAATAAGTCTTATACTTTTATTAAGGTTTAAGTTAAAGAACTTGTGATGAGTTTTCAAGTCAATGTTGATAACACCATACGCTGTAAGTTATCAAATTACAAAATCTTGCTGTAAAAAAAGGAATTCAAAAATTGTGTACCATTTTATAACTTTGTTAACAAAGATAAAGAGTTTAAAATGAAAGTTGATTTTTGAAACATGTTAAAATTCGAACCTTTCCCACATAAATAATCTTACCATGGGCGCCTGGATGGGCGCATGGGTGTACTTGCACCGCAGAAAGGAAAATATATATAGAAAAGTTAATAAAATTATATGAGTAAAATTCCTGTTTAAATTATTTAAAGATTAGCTAGTTGTTCAGTATGAACAAGCAGATGCACCCTACGAATAAATAATAAGTCTTATTAGACTTATTATTTATTCGTAGGATAAACCTCCCTGGAAATAATTCTGCCGCCGCCCATGAATCGTACAGTGAGACATCAAAAATCAACATAACAATTTATATAACTGAAATAATCTACTATCAGTTCTATAATACATTTTTAACCGATTTCCAAAAAGGAGGAAGTTGTCAATTCGTCGGAATAATTGTTTTTTTATGTATGTTCACCGATTACTCGAAGACGCCTGAACCGATTTGGATTTTTTTTGTTTCGAAGGGTATACTTTCCATTTAAATTTGGGTGATCCTATTTAAATTTTATCAAAATCGGTCGAGCGGTTTTAAAAAAAATCAATAACTAAATATTTCTTTTAAATAAATTGCTTAACCTGTCAACGACCGCTGAGCCACAGGTGGCTCGGTTAATAATTAATTTCTAATAAAATAGACAAATTATAAGAGAGGAAAAATATTAGATAACATTTTTATCTATTTATATGTGGAAGAATTTTGCCTTTTCGTCCCGCCAGATGTCGCGATCACTCAGGCTCTCAGTATATTAGCTTAATAAATAGCGTGGATGGATTTTTTTCATTTTATTCAAAATTTAATTAAAATGAGAAATGGTGCCGTTCCAGGATGTAAAGAAAATGGATACCATTTGTTCCCAAAAGACAAAAACTGAAAAAATTGTGTGCTAAAGCAATAAAACAACCAAAATTGGCGAAATCACAATCATTATATTTAAGGCTATGTGGACATTATTTCTTTTTTTTTGTTCTTGTTACATACTAATTACAGATTTTCATACAAACTTTCATCCATTATTTTACCCCCTTATAGGATTGAATTTCGAGATACGCTGAAACATGTATTTATTTAATTGTATTGAAGAGCATTAATACAAAGTTTCAAGTAATTCTGATCATAAATAATTCTTTGCCTATATAAACTTTATTACGTCCTTTTACCCCTTTAACCTCAGATTAAATGTAAATAAGCCATACGTGTGGCGCCATCTTCGAAAAATCATATCTACTTGAATCTTTGCAAATGTTTGTATTTTCGATTAAACCCCCTAGCCAATGATGTCAAATTATGAATTATGAAAAATAAATAAAAATGGGTGAAATATTCTAAACATGTAACTGAGTCGTGACGTTTTTTAAGAGCTCATTTTATAAGATTATTTATCTATGCTTTTGAGCATAGACAAATAATAACATTTGAGTAGGTATTAGTATAATCTGTATTAAGTCGCTTTATTCTGTAGACTGTAGCTGTAACTGTCAACTTTGAACTTAATTTGACAGTAATCCTTGATTAAAATTCTTCATCGTTCAATGGATGTTATTTTCGTATTGCAATTGCAATGAAATTATAGGACGAACTTTTGTTCTTTTCACTGTAATAACCAAATAAGCTCTCGCTAACAATGGCAAATCATTATGAAGTGCCTAGCTGGTATGTTAAAAGAGTACTTTACGAAATAATATTTCGTTTACCATGCCGCCATTCATCATTGACGGCTTTCGATTCTATTTATTTATTCTTTCCAGTATTTATATATACTTTTACCATTTCTTAAAAAATAGAAATTAAATTATAAGTATAGCAGTGTAATAAATTCTAATAAAATTTTTTAATATTTTTACAAGGGCCGGAAAACCTCCAACTGGACTCCATTTAGATGTCCTAAAAGGCGACAAATTAATACAAAAATTGATGATAGATGAAAAGAAATGCTACCTCTTTGGTAGAAATCCACAGATGAATGATTTCTGTATAGACCATGCAAGTTGTTCTAGAGTACATGCAGCTTTTGTTTATCATAAAGATTTAAATAGGGCTTTTTTGGTTGATCTAGGCAGCAGTGAGTATTAAGGTTTTTAAAAACAAAATAAATCATCAATTATTTTAAAGGTTAATTTAATTATCCTTAATGTAAATTACATAAATATTTTACCACTTTTAGCCCATGGCACTTATATTGGTAAGATGCGCTTAGAAGCAAATAAACCCACCCAGCTACCTATTGATTCAACATTTCATTTTGGAGCATCAACTAGGAATTATATAATCAGGTATTGTAACATAATAAATGAATCGATTAATATAGAAGTTGAGATGTTTAACTACCACCGGAGAAATAAAAAAATATGTTGGGACATTAACACCAGCACCATCTAGTTCCATGGTAAGCGAGATCTGTGTTATGGATTCCAGATAGTAGCTACACTACACATATAACTTTAAATACATACATAGTATAAATATAAACACCCATGACTGGAGTAGAAACAATTATGCTCATCACACAAATGAATGCTCCTAGCGGAACTCTAACCCAGGACCGCTGACATTACAACACGGGTCACTACAAACTGAGCAAAATGTGTGATAAGTTTTCTTAACATGGAATAAAACAGGGTTGTACCTATTGTGCCTATTTATAACAAATATAATAAAACTCATTACTCATTAGTATTACCGCTACATCTATATCTATAGTTATCATTATATTTTTATTTTAGAGAAAGACCAACAGGCAATTCAAGGGGGATAATGGAGGATTTGCCTAACACTGAAATGGAAGGCGCTTTACTTGGTCTACCAGAAACACAAACTGAGTTAGATGTGAGTTTTATTACTAAAATATTAGCTTTCAAGTTGCATTTCTTTGTAATTTCTATTGTATTCGTAATTAAAACAGTAATCTATCCAATCTATAAATCCAGTTCAGAAAGATGCTAAATCCTGATAAGTGAAATGAAACTTTATTCAAATAGACTTATTACAAGCACTTTTGAATCGTCAATTTAAAGAGCGTCAGTGTAGTCAGTCCGTGAGGAAGCTACCGCCGACTCTGAAAACAGTTCTGAAAAAAAGAGCCAGCGAGGAACTCATCAGTTGCTATTTTAAAATTAATTTAGAGAATATTGTTTTTACATACCTGGCTTTCTTTTAACAAGATGTTTGAAAAACTTTATTATTGTCATCCATATCTTTTATTTTTAGAATCTGACAGAATTTAATACAGCACATAATAGAAGGATATCCATGCTGGGTATTTCTACTGATGATGGAAGTGATGTGATGAAGGTAAGCTGTTATGATATTGTATTAGAATTATATTTTCTCATATTATGTCAATATTAATATTGATCATTATCTATTTAGTAGCATGTTAGTGATAGTAGGATGGTTTTCCACTTTAGTCAGCCATACTAACTACGCCATAAGCTATGTATGTTTATTCATGATGGGCATCACCTGCTGAATAATTTTGAAATTTTTTAATTAACTTAATATAAAGAGGATTATTAATTTAGCATTATTGATTTTAATTCCTTTTAATACTTTCTTAGATTTATGTGAATATTTAACATTTTAAATAAAACTACAACTATACTTGTTACTAGACACTGTCAACTACAACTATATAATGCTGTTGAGACGTCTAAAACCTTGGTCTCTCCCGTGACCATGATTGCTGCAAAGCATTCGAAACGTTGGGGACCAAAAATCAAAATAAATCCGCGAAATAATCCGAAAAGATAGTTTTATTTAATTCCTTTTTTTATTAAGCGGTCTTAGTCAAAAATGTGTATGTATAAAATAATAAGAACATTTTTACAGCCGCCTACTGGTACAAAGAGATCAGCATCAATGTCTGGAGGTGTTGCCAAGAAGCAGAAGCGCAATGTGTCTTTCAATGAGGAGGTGGACATCATCAATCCCGAAGATATAGATCCGACTGTAGGCAGGTTCAGGAATTTGGTTCGATCTACGATAGTGCCAAATGCTAATTCATCTACGAGGAAGTTGAAATTGCAAAGTGCAGATGAAAGTAAGATTTTAAGTACATTGTTTTACTAAAATCATTAACACTAGCTTATGTGTTCTCCAGGTCATAGTATATATGGATACTAAATTTTATCGAAAGCTGTTCAGCTACTTCAGCATGAAGTAGTAACAAACTTACACACGCGCACACACTCACGCACACTCATCCACACTCGCAAACTCATTCACATTCACGCACACTCGTTCACACTTACGCTCACTCACGCACATGCGCATTCACACACAAACATACATATAAAAAACTTGCATTTATAATAACTGTCCAACAGTAAGTTACAGAAAAATATTTATAGGTTATTATAGGTCTTTATTTACATAATTATAATTTTCTTCTATATTTCAGGCCATCACCACCATTCTCTCAGACTGCAGGAGATATCGAGGAGCAATAACTTGTATTCAGATTTACCGGCACCCAGCTCACATCTCAGTCTTATTGGTGCAAGGTATACTTTTATATTTTATAATGCTTTACTATATTATATATACTAATGTCATTATCTCAGAAGTTCAGGGTTTGATTTCAGAGATAATAGGTGCAATAAAAGCCAAATATAACATACAGTTACTAATTATCTATATTTATCTATATTAACGGTTAGTATAGAATTGACTATGATGATGTTCTCCTAGCCGATTCCGGCCACGGCGGCCAATCTCAATGAGATTAGCCAACTGCGTAGGAGATATTATAGTGCACAAGTGTACGCGCAGACACAACGTGCACTCTCTATTCCTATCACTCTCATACTCCGGTGGGACGACCGCTCGACACGACCGGGGAGAGTTAAGGCGCAGGACCGACGGCTTTACGTGCTCTCCGAGGCACGGGGGTGAAACACCGCCATCTTCCCAACTCCGGGCTGTTACTGAGACTTGCTATACAGGAAAACTCAATAACTAAACTTGGCCCGACCCGGGACTCCAACCCAGGACCTCCGGGTGTGCAGCCGTACATGCTAGCCACTACACCACCGAGGCAGTTAAAGAATTGACTATATACATATATGTACATGAATAAGTATAGAAAACTAGGTCAGTACTTTATAAAATAAAAAAATATACATCCCTCACTTGAAAAATGATTTATTCCCCATTTTCAGCCCCCTAAGAGATGATTTCCGGGATAAAAACTATCCTATGTCCTTCCCAGGGCAATAAACTATCTTCATACCAAATTTCATCTAAATTGGTTCAGTCATTTATTTGTGATGAGGTAACAAACAAACAAACAGTTACTTTTGTAATTTTAGTATTAGTATCGATACAAAATTAATATGAATTAGGTCAATTATATGGAAATATGTCACTAGTTTTAAGTTTATAGTTTAAATATATAATAAAAAGCATCAGAAATTATGATATTATGTGTGCTTGTTTCTAGATTGGGCTTGTCGTTACCAAATCCAGCACCCGATGTAGAGTTAGAGGGTCCCGAGCCACACCACAACATACATCCCCCTCTACCACATGCAGGTGTGTTACATGCTATTCTTATATATATATATATATATATATATATATATATATATATTTGATTTATTTGTATTATTAATATCGATTAGATCATCTTGTAACTGTTGTTGAAAACTAGCATACGAATGACTTTGTTTATATCTTGGTGTTCTACTCACATGTACTTACCTTTTTTTTTTTTTTAAATAGTAATTTTCCAAACATAATAAATTAACATTAGTAAAACTGTACATGCAATAATCCTAACTTAATCATAGATTATGCATATGGGAAGAAGCGGGCCATTCCCAACACAAGTATCCTCCGGATTACTTACTGGGAAGACTCGAACACAAAAAATGTTATAAATGATTAAGCAATAAAAACTATTTTTATTTTTATTTTATTTTATTATATTACAGTCTATTAGTCCATACAGTCGTCCAATATTTGCTTTCTATTCATTGGTGACCCGGTGGTAGCTCGCTTGCTTGGCAAACCGAGTTATGTGGGTTCAAATCCCAGGACTCGCAGCTCTGATATTTTCATTTCATGCCAAGTGCGAGTTAACGGACTGAGCATGTCTTTTGAAAATTTGCTAGGTTCTCTCAGACATGCAGGTTTCTTTACGATAAAAAAATATATATAAAAAAAGCATTTATTGCCATAAATAAGAGTAATAAAAAGTTAACAGAATCAGTAAAGCTTAAAGTAACTTATGGCAAAAGGTAATAACTCGGCTAATGCTGCTAAGACCGAAATCTCAAGCAGCGCTGATTTTCAGTTATTGATGTTTTGTTTCACTGCAAGACAAGTAGTAATCATGTTGAAATGATTTGCACATGACAATATCAAAGATGCGAGACTCGGGAACCCTCTCAACTTTCCTAAGCGAGCGCATTACTACTGGGCTACCACTGTCTTTTTATCATATATTTATGAAATATATTGTGTTATTTCAGCAGCCGAAGAACCGGCTACATCGAACGAACCCAAAAAGAAGAAATATGCAAAGGAAGCATGGCCGGGAAGGAAACCTGGTCTTGTTCCAGTCTGATAATAACTTTATATATACCATAGTGATTAATTATATGTTAATATGTTTATTTTAATATAATAAATATGAATAAGAAAACTATTACAGAATATTCGTTGAATGTTAAAGCGAATGTTCGCAGGTGTTCGTGTTATTGTGTGACCACAGACGATGGATAATATAGACAGAGTGTGCGAGAATCAAACATGAAGTCAAGCAATAATGTTTTAAAATAATATATATGTTTTAAATTTTAATACTGAGTAAGAAGTAAATGAAAATAGCTAATGGATTTTATTATAACAACTAGCATTGCCCGCGGCTCCGCCCGCGTTCAGATGACCACAAATCAAATTCTTAGGTTTTACATATTAGTATACTATTACATTGCAGTTTTTGTATTTTTTCTCGGAAATGAGACATTTTCCCGCGGTAAAAAGTATCCTATATGTTGACCTGGATAACCAAGTATCATCATGCCAAATTTCATCAAAATCTGTCCAGTGGATTTCTCGTGATGCTTTCCAAGACAGACAAAATTAACGGTGCGCCACTGAGTATAGTGAATTATTAATTTTATTTTTATCGGTTGAGTAGTTTGAAATATTAAACAAATTTCTCACTTTATAAAAGTCTAAGTAAAAGTCACTTTTTAATTAAAAGTTAAGAAAAACGTCGATTTTTAGTTACTTCAAATCTTGGAAGTCGATTTTAACCTTCATAAGTATATTAAAACTGAAAAACAATCCAATCGAGTTAATCTCAAAAAAAATTATTAAACATTTTATGTAGAACCCGACACAAAAAAAAACTCTAGAAAGTAAAAAAATAAAATTTCTCTCTTGGCCTTTTAACTTCATTAAGAGTACTTCTCAATTAATATTTTGATGATGAGCGTCGCCCCGTCGAGGAACCGCTAATACTTCATCAATCTTCTTTTTAACCGACTTCCAAAAAGAAGGAGGTTCTCAATTCGTCGGAATCTTTTTTAATGTATGTTCACCGATTAATCGAAGACGCATGAACCGATTTGGAATTTTTTTTTTGCTTCGAAGGGTATAATACTTCCCGGGTGTTCCCCTATAAATTTTATTCAAATCGGTCAAGCGGCTTTTTAAAAATCCACAATAATTTTTTTTTTAAATAAATTGCTTAATCGAATATGTTTTTAAAAATCTTACAAATTACCTGCTTATTACGTCTTCACTAATAATGGAAAAATAAAAACTTAAAAATAAAAAATAATAACCGACTTCCAGGCACTAAAATGTAAAAAATAACTAAACGGAGGTTTTCATTTAGAATAGATACCTAATCAGATATTTTCGAAGTCGGTTCCAGCCGACAATATTTTAAGATATGAATATCTAATAGGTAAATATGATTTGGCATGAACTCTAATTATAGTTAAAATTTTACACATCAATTTGTGATGTATTTTTCATATCGAAATGTATTAGATTTGCTTTACATCGGCTGGCACCGACTTCGAAAATATCTGATTAGGTATCTCTTCTAAATGAAACACCCGTTTAGTTATTTTATACATTTTATTGCCAGGAAGTCACTTTTTTTAAGTTTTTATTATTTGTATATCATGTTATTTTATCATATTCAACAATAAAATTCTAACTGAATCGAATTTGTTCATTAAATATTTTATTGGAAAATCTTATTAAAATAGTCATTATTATCCATACAGAGGTCGAACCTATAGTTTTTAGAATTTTTGTCTGCCTGTCTATCTATTTCTCTGTCTGGGAACGCATTACGAGAAAACCACTGGACGGATTTTAATGAAATATGGTATGATAATTGCTGGTTATCCGGATCGACATAAAAGATAATTTTTACTGCGGGAAAAAGAGTCCCTAGTGAAAAATAATAATGTAAGAACAATAACTAAATAGGATATAGACTGAGTTAGGCGATAAGTTAACAGTTTTGCCACTTCCATACTAGGTAGCATGTAAACTTATTGATAACGTTTAAATACCAATTTGCGTGTTCTTTATACTTTAAGTTACGTTAGCTAAACTTAGTATGGGATATATTATTAATAAATATAGGGATCTTTTTGTGAATGGATTAAAGGAATATTTTTAATAGAATTGTAGACGGATTAGGAATTAAAGGTTATTTGATCGATATATATATATATATATATATATATATATATATATATATATATATATATATATATAACTAACAACACATACACAATAGTTAGCTGTGTGTAACTAAAAAAAATATATGTGCGTCTAACCTTTACGCGCAGTTGAAGTAAAACTTCTTTGGCGCTGTGGCAGATACCCAAATATAAATAATATAATTTTAATAAAATTATTAGTAATAAATATGCATTTTTATAAGTAATAATTATTATAAAATTATTAATAATAGATATATATATATTTTTATAAATAATAATACCTAATCATAAAAATATAAATTTAATATTTTATTTAATATTATTATTAATAATAAATTTGACTCTAACTTCCGCGACACTCATTTTTCCAATGTATTACCACTACCAGACTTACCCCTCAGTCACGCGTAAAGAAGTTTTAATCTAAAAATCATCAAATCAAAATAGAAATTTTAGAATTTTTCTATCTTTTCCATTAAAAAGTAGGATAAAAAAGATTTTAATTACAGTTGTATGGAGTAATATAATTGTAAGTTTTTATATGCAGTGATGTTTTAATTTTCTTGATAGATACCTACTTAACTTTTATCTGTTTTTTTTTGAATGAATGTACATTTTGTATAGAATCTGTTGGTCGATGTAATTACTAAGTGCTGTGAATAAATTGTAAAATAAACGTTTCAATAAAGTATTTGTGTAAATTTTATTTCAAAAGAAAAACGAGGTTTTATAACTTATCAGTTTATAATATCAAAGCCACTTTATAGCACGGAAAGCTAAATTACTTTGGATGTGTGAAAAATAACAAGAAAGAAATGAAAAAGAAAGAAGAAATATACAAAAAAATAAATTCATATGGAAGTATACTTATACGGTACCTACATGCCTACATAAAAGAAAAAACTATTTTGAAAATTTTTGTCTGTCTACCGGTTAATCTCAGAAACAGCAGTATTTTTATATATAAGAAGTAACTTAGCCTACTTTTTTATAAAAACAATTAGGATTATTTGCAAGAAAATTACAACCCACGCAATTGTAAGCAAAATCCGCATACCCACGACGATTAAGGGATACGGGACGAACATGAGCCAAGCGAGGGCAAGTCGCTACATTAATATTATAAAGAAGGCAATGGTAGCCCAGAGGTAACGCATACGTTTGGCAAACCAAGTGAAGCGGGTTCAAATCCCGGGTCGCGCACCTCTGATATTTTCATGTGCAAATCGTGTTCTACATGTTTATCACTCTTCTTACGGTGAAGGAAACATCGTGACGAATCTACATGTCTGAGAGAAGAAGTTTTCGAAAGACGTGAAGCCGGCCAACTCGCACTTGGCCAGTGTGGTGGCTTATGGTCTGGTTTCCTTGTTAGGTAAAGTTTGTGAGTTTGATCCTGACAATTCTTTCATTAATAGGAAGTAACATTACCGCCGAGTGCAGGCTGTTGTCTGTGTTCATATATCGATAAAAATGCGTTAACTTTTAGAAATAATAATACCTTTAGTTGAAGTTTGAGAAAACTGGCCGTTGAAATGCAGAATTGACGTACACTGCGTAGCAAGGATAAAACATATTTGATTTTAGTTCGCTTTTTAGTTTTTAGGGTAAAAAAGAGTCGGATAATTTTTTTTTTTTTTTTATTTAAAGCTTTTAATTTATGGCTTAGATTTTTTTAATTGTACTTACCTACTATATTTAATAACTTTTTATCCTAAATTTTTAAGCTTGTAAATCTATACTAATATTATTTAAGAGGTAATGTTTGTGAGTTTGTGAGTTTGTAGGGGGTAATCTCTGGATCTACTGAACTGATTTAGATGAACTTTGGTAACAAGATAGTTTCAGGTCTTGGGAAGGACTGTTTATCCCGGAAATCATTCCTTAAGGGTGTGAAAATGGGGATGAAATTTTGTTTGCGGAATTATCTAGAGACGAACCCGACCGAAGCGAGGGTGAGTTGCTAGTTATATATATATTTGCGACCGCCTTTTAAAAACCTTCATTTTTATATCCCACTCGATAGGTTTGAATGAAAATAAATTTTTAGACACATGCCTGAAATCAGACAATTTGATTTTTAATCATATCTGTATACTCTAAGATACTCGTGTTATCAAGACGAACCTAATGACGTAAGTACTATTATTTATCAAAATCAGTTAAGCCGTTTAGTAATTACGAGGGGACATAAGATCGGACAAACATACATACATACATACATATACATACAGGTCAAACACGTAACCTTCTTTTGGGCTTCGCCGCAGTCGTGTACAAAAGAACCTACGATGGTAAGTTACAAAGAAAATTGAAGCTGCATCACTGCATTATGCGCGTCGTCAACTGGTTTTCATATTTTTAGTTCGTTTTTACGCAAATTGTTTATTTTTATTTTTATAATTATTTTTTTAATTTTATATCATATCAATACCTGAGTTGCAATATTGTATTTCAGGTGATGGTTCTTGGAGAAAATGACATAGGCTTTCAGTTTCTGATCCCAATTTATTAAGCATGTTCAAAATAGTTATTTACGGATGCTTTAACAAACTGTTACAGTCATAAGTGCTTGCATTATTGCCTATCGAACCATGTCCATAATTGAACTTCACTGTTCAACTTAAATAACCCTTGAATATGATTGTTTAAGGAAATTGAACTTTATTGTATTGGCATTAATTTTTATCTCGAATGAAACTACTTTATTTGTCTATTCATGTGTACATACAATCGATATGAAATAGGCAAATGAGGGCCTCGACATGCACTATTTAAAGCTATATTGGGAAGGTACCTATGTCTTTAGGTAGAGAAGGCCCGAAATTACTATTGGATAGCAAATTTATATCTGAGTACATATTGA